TCTGTGTCTCTGTCCCTCTCTCTCTGTCTGTCTGTGTCTATCTCTGTCTGTATGTCTCTCTCTCTGTCTGTCTGTCTGTATCTCTGTGTCTCTCTCTCTCACTCTCTCTCTGTCTGTGCCTCTCTGTCTGTCTATCTCTCTGTCTGTCTGTGTGTCTCTGTCTGTCTGTCTCTGTCTGTCTGTATGTCTGTCTGTGTGTCTGTGTCTCTCTCTGTCTGTCTGTGTGACTCTGTCTGTCTGTCTGTCTGTCTGTCTGTCTGTGTGTCTGTGTCTCTCTCTGTCTGTCTGTGTGTCTCTGTCTGTGTGTCTGTCTCTGTAGTTAAATAAGAGCTGTTTTCTGCTGTTAACGCAATGAAATCTATCGCCTAAACGCAGCAAATGGGTATTGTGAAGACAAACAGTTTCCCCAAAATACTCACCGGAGTCCGACCCCAATCCTCTGTCCCTCTGACTTCAAACCCTCAGGAAATCACAGCCACAAACCCCAACCCCTCACTCCCCCTCTCTCCAACCGGTCATCCACAGTGCACCAACACACTGTACACACTCACCAACACACCAACACACTGCCTCACACTCACCAACACACTGTACACACTCACCAACACACTGTACACACTCACCAACACACTGTACACACTCACCAACACACTGTACACACTCACCAACACACCAACACACTGCCTCACACTCACCAACACACTGTACACACTCACCAACACACTGTACACACTCACCAACACACTGTACACACTCACCAACACACCAACACACTGCCTCACACTCACCAACACACTGTACACACTGCCTCACACTCACCAACACACTGTACACACTCACCAACACTTTACACACTCACCAACACACTTTACACACTCACCAACACACTGCCTCACACTCACCCACACACTTTACACACTCACCAACACTTTACACTCACCAACACACTTTACACACTCACCAACACACCAACACACTGCTTCACCCTCACCAACAAACTTTACACACTCACCAACCCTTTACACACTCACCAACACACTTTACACACTCACCAACACTTTACACACTCACCAACACACTTTACACACTCACCAACACACTGCCTCACACTCACCAACACACTTTACAAACTCACCAACACACTTTACACACTCACCAACACACTTTACACACTCACCACCACACTGACTGACACACTCACTAACTCTCTCACTCACTAACACAAAAGCCAAAGGGAACGTATCTGTTCACTAATCACAACCACAACCCGAGCGGGTGGAAGACTTTTGCTCTGCAATGATCTCTCCTCCTCTCCTCCCACTCTCTCCCTCTCCTCCTCTCCTCCCACTCTCTCCCTCTCCTCCTCTCCTCCCACTCTCTCCCTCTCCTCCTCTCCTCCCACTCTCTCCCTCTCCTCCTCTCCTCCCACTCTCTCCCTCTCCTCCTCTCCTCCCACTCTCTCCCTCTCCTCCTCTCCTCCCACTCTCTCCCTCTCCTCCCACTCTCTCCCTCTCCTCCCACTCTCTCCCTCTCCTCCTCTCCTCCCACTCTCTCCCTCTCCTCCCACTCTCTCCCTCTCCTCCCACTCTCTCCCTCTCCTCCTCTCCTCCCACTCTCTCCCTCTCCTTCTCTCTCCCTTTCCTTCTCTCCCTCTTTCCTTCTCTCTCTCTTTCCTTCTCTCCCTCTCCTTCTCTCTCTTTCCTTCTCTCTCTCTTTCCTTCTCTCCCTCTCCTTCTCTCCCTTTCCTTCTCTCTCTCTTTCCTTCTCTCCCTCTTTCCTTCTCTCTCTTTCGATTCTCTTTTTGTGACCCCCCACCCCAGCTGTGTGTCCCCTGTGCCCAGTCTGTCTGTCTGTCTGTCTGTGTCTGGTTCACATTGCTCTCACTCCCAGAGACCCAGACAGACCCTCTCTGCTCCTGTCCAGTGCAGCTCCTCCACGTTGGGAAGGAAGGGGAGAGGAGGGAGGGGGGTAGAGAGGGGGGGAGGGGGAGAATGGGAAGCAGTGAGAGACTTATTGCCTCCACAGCTCCACCATCAGGCCTTGATCCTTCACCCCGTCTGTAAAGCACTTTCTGCTTTGAGATTCAACAATATCCACATCTCAAAGCGCTTAATGGGACATTACTGTGAAGTGTAGTGACTGTGTATTTTGCAGGAGCCGATTTACGCTCAACGAGGACCCACAAAGAGCTGTGAAGTGAATGGACTGCTACCGGGGATTGTTGGCCAAGAACCGGGAGAGAGAGGAACTCGCTCCTCTTTTCCAACAGCACTGTGGGATATTTAACATTCACGTGAACCACAGAGAGAGAAACACATGGTTTAAATGGAAGATATTATTAATAATAATATTAATAATGCTTACATTTTATACAGAGCCTTATTAAGTCATTGAGGCGTCTCAAAGTGCTTCACGGGATATAGTGTAAAGGGATTTGACAGTATATTTTGTGGGTTATCATTGCTATGTTATTATAGTTTAAATCACTGTGTAGAGGTAGTCTCTAAGTGTTCCAGACCAATAACACCGCCAAGTTCCACATGAATAGATGTTACTTTTCTCGTATATTTGAGCTTTCTAATATACCTGCTTTCTGCTGGAGGTGGATATTTTGTTGACCAAGTATGAAGGCGCAACACAAATGTAATTTGTTGTTGTTGTCAGCCATTTCTGAACAGCCTTATTAACAGTCCCAGTTGTACTGATGATTATAACGTTTGTTTTATATTTGCCACATATATGAAGGATGAAGGACGTCACTTCTGGGCTGGAGAAAAATTTGAAGCAGGAGGGAGTGGATCCAATAGTTATGATTCACACAGGGACCAATGATGTAGGTAGGACAGGGAGGGACGAATTGAGGAGCAAGTTCCGGGAACTGGGAGTTAAGCTGAAGAGTAGAACATCGAAGGTGTTAATATCGGGATTATTACCTGAGCCGGGGGCAAATTGGTACAGGCAAAAGAAAACTAAAGAGCTGAATACCTGGCTAAAAGAATGGTGCGGAGGGCAGGGGTTTCACTTTATAGGCCACTGGCACCAGTATTGGGGGAGACAGGAGCTATTCCAAAGGAATGGACTCCACCTAAACAGGGCTGGGACAAATGTCCTGGCAACATGAATAAATAGGGAGGTAGACAGGGCTTTAAACTACTAAGTGGGGGGGGGGGGGGGCGGAAAATTCAATCACATGCAATCCGTTACAATCAAAATTAGGACCGACGAAAGTGGGAGAGCAGATTAACCAGGGAGATGAGTAAAGGGTGTCAAACGGGAAAAGGAAGCCCAGGGATAGGGTACTGGTGAATAGGACTATAGCCCGAAGTCAGAATTAAAGGCGCTGTATCTGAATGCGCGAAGCATTCAAAACAAGAGAGATGAACTAACTGCACAAATAGAAACAAACGGGTATGATCTGGTAGCCATCACCGAGACACTGTTACAGGGAGATCAAGGGTGGGAGCTAAATATTCCAGGGTACGTGGTGTATAGGAAAGATAGACAATGTGGTAAACGAGGAGGTGAGGTGGTCCTGCTAATAAAGGATGGGATAAAAACAGTAGAGAGGAAAGATTTTAAATCAGAAAAGCAGGACGTGGAGTCAGTATGGGTAGAGGTACGTAACAACAAGGGGCAGAAAACTCCAGTGGGAGTAGTTTATAGACCCCCGAACAGCAGTCACAGTATCTCTCAAGATATAAACCAAGAAATTAGCGGAGGATGTAACAAAGGAAAAACATTAATTGTGGGCGATTTTAATCTGCACATAGATTGAGACAACCAAATTGGGAAAAGTATGATAGAGGAAGAGTTTATAGAATGTATTAGGGATAATTATCTCGATCAGTTTGCCGAGGAGCCAACCAGGGAACAGGCCATATTAGACCTTGTTTTGTGCAATGAAGCAGAGCTGATCAGCAAACTGGAAATTAAGGCTCCTCTCAGGCAAAGTGATCATAATACGATGGAATTTAGCATTAAGTTAGAGAGAGAAATAGTTAAGTCCGAAGCAAAGGTTTTAAATTTAAGTAGAGCCAATTTTTCTGGTATGAGAGAGGATTTGGCCAAAATAAACTGGGAAATTAGACTGAAGGATTTGACAGTAGATCAGCAATGGCAGACGTTTAAGGAGATAGTGCAAAATTCCCAGCGAGCACGTATTCCTTTGAGGAATAAGAATGCCACAGGAAAGGTGGCCCAACCGTGGCTAACTAGAGCAGTGAGGGACAGTATAAAGTTAAAGGAAGAAGCCTATAAAACAGCTAAGATGAGTAGTAAACCCGAGGATTGGGAGAACTTTAGGGATCAACAAAGGAGAACCAAAAAAGTGATTAAGAGGGAGAAAATGGAATATGAGGGCAAACTAGCGAAGAACATAAAGACAGACTGCAAGAGTTTTTATAAATATATAAAGAGGAAGAGGCTGTCAAAGGTAAATGTGGGTCCGCTACAGGCAGAGACGGGGGAATTATAGTAGGGGACAAAGACATGGCAGAGTCATTAAACAAGTACTTTGCTACTGTCTTCACCTTAGAAGACACTGAAAACCTACCAAGAATAGAGGGGAACCAAGAAGACAATGTTAGCGAGCAACTTGGGGGAATTAATATTAGTAAAGAAATGGTTTTAGGTAAATTGTCAGGTCTTAAAACTGATAAATCCCCTGGACCTGATGGCCTACATCCTCGGGTTTTAAAAGAGGTGGCGACTGAGATAGTGGACGGCTTGTCTTTGATCTTCCAAAATTCTCTGGATTCTGGAACGGTTCCCATTGATTGGAAGATTGCAAACGTGATACCACTATTTAAGAAGAGTGGGAGAAAAGATGGGGAACTATAGACCAGTTAGTCTGACTTCAGTGGGAGGGAAAATTCTTGAGTCCTTAATTAAAGATGTTGTTTTGGGATTCCTGGAAGACCATAACAAGAATAGGCAGTCAACATGGCTTTACAATGGGAAGTGATGCTTCACTAATCTTTTAGAGGTTTGTTTAAGATGTATCTGCAGGTTAGAGAGGGGGGAACCAGTAGATGTAGATATTTAGATTTTAAAAAGGCATTTGACCAAAGGCTATTGCACAAGGTTAAGGCCCGTGGGATTAATGGGAACATATTAACATGGATTGAAGAGTGGCCAACGGGTAGAAAACAGAGAGTAGGGATAAACGTGTCATTCTCGAATTGGCAGGAGATGTGACTAGTGGAGCGCCACAAGGATCAGTGCTGGGCCTCAGCTATTTACAATTTACATCAATGATCGACACGAGGACATTGAATGTAACGTATCTAAATTCGTGGATAACACTAAACTCAGTGGGAGAGTGAGCTCTGAGGATGATGCAAAAAGATTATTTTCTAGAGTGGGAGTGATTAGATAGTGTTAGTGTTCAGAGGGATTTGGGTGTCCTTGTACACCAGTCTCAAAAAGTTAGTTTGCAGGTGCAGCAGCAACTAAGGGGAACGGCAGTTAGCGTTCATTGCAAAAGGTTTAGAGTACCAGAGTAGGGAAGTCTCGCTGCAGCCGTATAGGGCTTTGGTGAGACCGCACCGAGAGG